GGGCCAGCGTGCATCGTATCACTACAGGACCGCTTGGACAATCTACTGTGCCCTGTATGGCGCGGGCAAGAACGACCCGGCCAAGCACGACGAAAAGTTCATCCGTGGATACCTGGACTACTTGGGAGAGTTGGCCACGAACGGATTGTCGACCATTGCCTCCTCCCAGGGCATTAACTTGGAGGAGATTACCGCCAGCACCAAGCGACCTGCCCCTGGATCCGAACCTGCTGCCAAGAGGTTCAAAACCGAGCCGGATGAGATCAAGCTCCCATTTGCGGAGAAGGTCAAGAATTTGCAGAGGTCCAACCCCTCAGCGAAGGAAGCTTGGTGGGCCTATTGCGATGCTCAGTGCGGAGGCCTGCGAGACCCAATGCGCCACGACACGGACTCGTTGCAGGCTTTCCTGGCCAGCCAGGGCGCAGTGTGATGGATGAGGTGTCCAAAGGCTGTTAGGTGCAGCAGATCTTGATCCCGGCAAATACCCACACCGGGCCGAATATGAGGGTACTTGATGCAACTCGAACGAACGCAGCACGGAAAAGAGCTCTGCTGCAAAGTGCTTGTCTCTATCAAGCGTTGTTGTGCGATTTGCAGGATGTGATTGCATCCCTGAAACATGCGCTGTAGGTGTTCAATGCTCGGAAATGCACCGATTTGTTGTGATTGTAGCCTGCAGTTTGAGCACCTTCTTGACGTTTCCTGGCTTGTAGGAGAGGGTGGCAGCAGCTGACCTTCAAAGGGAGACTGACTGGCTGCCTAGAGCTAGAGGGGCCGCAGTTTCGCCATGGCTGGCAAAGCGGACTTGGTGCAGCAGATCAAGAACATGCAGCGGGCCGATCCCACGTTCAGACAAACATGGTGGGACTTCTGCGAAGCGCAGCTCGGTGGTGTCCGCGATCCGAACCGGCATGACGAGAGCATCCTGGGCACCTTTCTGCAGCAGTACAACAACGGCGAAATTGCTCCGTCGCCTTTCCGGCCTGAGGAGGACTGGTGGAACAAGGGCAAGGGCAAGGGCAAGAAGGGGGACATGTCCTATAATATGATGCCGCCACCAGACATGTGGGGAATGCCTCCAGGCATGATGATGGGCGGAGGCTTGCCTGACTTCGTAAAAACAGGGCAAAGAGCATCTTATCATTGGAGGAATGCTTGGAACATCTACTGCGCCTTGTATGGCGCAGGCAAGAACGACCCGGCCAAGCATGAAGAGACCTTCACCCGTGGATTTGTCGATTACATCGGCGAGCTTGCGGCGAATGGTCTTTCTTCCATTGCAGCCTCGCAGGGGATCAACCTCGAGGAGATTGCGCCACCCAACAATGGCAAGGGCAAAGGTCCACCCGGCATGGAGCCGGCTCCGAAAAGATTCCGCTTCGAGGAGGCGGATGGTGCAAAGCTCGAGCTGGTAGAAAAAGTTAAGAACTTGCAGAGGTCCAACCCTGCGGCCAAAGAGGCCTGGTGGGTGTACTGCGATGGCCAGTGCGGCGGCATGAGGGATCCATTGCGCCACGACACCCCCTCTTTGCAGACATTCCTATCCAGTCAGGGAGCGGTTTGATGATTCAGGACCTCTCGAATTGGCAACCTGCAGAACCGATGATACAACGCCGCTCGGGTGGAAGGGATAGGTATAAGGTTGCCGTTTTGACGGGGCGCAACATGGCGCATCCGACCAGCTCCGCGAGAGATAAAGATGCCCTGCTGCGAGTTGCTCTCGTCTGTTTCGCGATTTTGTCTGGGCGACTGCGGACATGTCCAGCATGTCGTGTGTTGCAGGATGCAGCAGCCCCTCACCATCAAATATATCGACCCGACCCTCGGCTGCAAAGCTTGGGCAGGCAAGGTAGGCAGAGGAGGCAGCGGCACTCCGAGTTTGCGGTCATAGCGGCGCGAAGACAAAAATGTCGTGCAAGCAACAAGGACCTACACCGTCCGAGCCGTGCCGGCCAACACCAACGATAGCGTGGCACCCTTTGCAGCAGTGCTTCTTGCTCCGTTCTGGCTTGAAAGCAGCGCAGCCCTCATTCACGAAGTAGAAGAAGAAGTGGTTCAAGCGGTTTTAGACAATCACCCTGCCTGGCAAGTGAATTTGTAAACGCTTTTCCTGTGTGACATTGGTTGACAGCTGTCACTTTCTATCGTGAGCTTCCAATAGCTTCTTGTTCCGAAGGCGGTGTTTGCGATGATGGCGGTCCTAAGTAAGAACGTCCTGTGTGCACAGGAGGAACAAGTGTGTCATGAGTGCATGTCTCGTTTCTTACTCGTTTATCGAGGCGATAGGCTTAGTCTTGCTGCAGATGTCTGTCTGCCTTTTGTAGTATGGGATCTCAAGTTGAACCGGTAAGAACAAAGTCCCACAAAGCTCACACCAATGTTTTGCCTTTGCATCCTTTGGTCTTGGTCTGATGCACCGCTCATTTTTTGCGGCTCGCTTGTCCAAGGTCTACTGCTCGGTGCTGGGAGCCCATGCCGTGCATGTGGCGATGGCAGGCTACACAGGACGCACAGCCTGGCGCTGGCAGTGCAAATGCTGCTAATGCTATCGCTATCCGCACAGGTACTTGTTGTGCCTCAGGGTCGTGCGTGCTGTTTATGTATACGCGTTGCATGATTGCTCCTTGTCCTTATCTCTCTAAACCCACAACTCCACGGCCAGGAGTTGTTGTCGGCAAGGTGGACGAGCGCCACCTGGCCTCGTCATTGTTGCCCAACCCCTTCCTGCCTTCACCCTCAGGTGCGGCCGTGTTGGATTGCGTTCCTGTGGCAGCTGCGAACTCCCCGGCGATGTCACTCACGGCAATACAACCCATGGAAGCTGCCGCTCATGGCCGTTAGACGCACGCTGCTACGGCCAGGTAAGGTAGTGCCTGCCTTGGACGGGCCTAAGAAACTTTCGAGCGAAAGTTTTTACACCTGTACCAGCAAGAGAAAGCATGGCCTTGTGCCAAAGCGACGCCATTCGCGAAGAATCTGGAAGTCATGTTATGGAGGCGGGGCTGGATGGGTCCACCCCTCATGCTTTCTTTCTCAGCTTTTCTTGCAGATCGGGTCTTCCCTCCTGATCCCTCAACTTGCCGACAAGTAAGACTTTTTGCGAATGCATCCGGTTCCTTTGAGATTGATGATTCGTGCAAATTGCAGTGAGCTACTTGCATCTCGGGCTTGCCAGTCACCAAAGTGAGCTCTGATGGTCGGAGCAGTTGCTGATCGCCGGAGCAAGCCTTGCCATTCTAGCTGTCGTGGCGCAATGTGTCCAAGAGAAGACCCAGAAGAAGATGACACTGATTGTGCCCCTCCTCTCCATGTGTCAGTGTGTAAATGCATCGCAGTACCAAGCTGGTTGGCTGTGTTGAGCTTGCTGCCCTTATCTCAGGTTTTGTCATGCTGCCAAATCATGCCATCACAAAGGCACCGTTGAGGCAGTGGGATGCGACGCCTTTTTTTGAAGATACGTTTTTCTGTGAATATTCCACGGGAGGGTTATGATGATGATTGTTATTATTATTGATTATTATTACTATGATATATATATATATACACACACATACTTATTTTGTTTTTATTTTTGTGTGTTCTTGCCTTTTTCCGGCTGGAGGTGGAGTCGGGGGTGTGGGAGGAGGCCCAAGTCTTGAATGTTTGAATACTAGTCGGCTTCGAAGCAATATACAGGTGGAAACAACACGCCGTAATGACATGACGTAGATTAGATTGGATGAGATATATCATACAGAAAGTGCATTTTCTATCAAGTATTGATAATAATTCAATAGGATAAGTACATTGAGAGTATACAAACTTTGAACCAATAGAAAACCCCAGGTTGTTTTTTATACTGCAAAATATTTTACAATGCTGTCCAATGTTGTGTAAAAGACTAGTTTTGCTATATGGCTATATGATTACTATATCAAGATAATGCAGAACTTATATGACCAATATATTAATGGACAACTCATATTACTTACGTGTATTATTTTACATCAGTATATGTTAATATTAGTTTCTATTCTGCTATGGTACAGAATAATATATTTTACCAGAAAACCTTATACTGGTAGCATACGATATAACTATAGCATGTGATGTGCTACTCTATTCTGCTCGATAATTTTATGTTATGTTCTATTGGTTAAATCGTTTTATTTTACGTTGTTTTCTATTTTGTCATGTTGTATAATGATCTATTGAAATGCATCACCGTATGTTCTAACATGCCTTCGTAGATTACAGTTTGTTACATTAACTAACACTACGTTATATTGGGTTATATTCTCTTACAGTGTGTAGTTTTTTTAGTATTGTATGGTTTGGTACATGCATAGTATGCATTTCACATGGTTTTCAATATTGTAACAATACAATAATACAACATAATGTAGTTAATCTTACAGTGTATATGCGTATTGTAAAAAATGCATACATACATTATCTGTTACAATATAATGTAACAGTGTAATATAATATATTACTTTCAAGCAGAATAGACTGCAACATAATATGTTGTATATAATATGCTATAAGGTTTTATGGAATAATCTAGTATTTTGTATCATAACAGGACAGAAACTAACAGTAAACTATACCAATGTAGAATATTACACGTAAGTAATATGAGTTGTTTGTTAATATACTAGTCCTATAAGTTCTGCATTATCTTGATATAGCGCTCATATAACCATATAACAAAACTAGTTGTTTAGAACATTGGACAGCATTGTAAAATATTTTGCGGCATTAAAAAACTGGAGTTTACTATTGGTTCAAAGGTTGTAGAATCTCAACATACTTATCGTATTGAATTAATATCAATGCTTGATAGAAAATGCACTTTCTGTATGATAGGCCTCATCCAATCTAATCTACGTCATGTCATTATGGCGTGTTGTTTCCACCTGTATATTGCTTCGAAGCCCATTGTATTCAAAGACTTGGGCCTGAAGTCCAGCCCCCCCCTGCACCCTACCCATCCACCCGCCCCCAGGGCCCAAAAAAAGGCACAACAACAAATTGAAAGGTAAAAACAAAGTCTCACCCATTTTCCACTCTTCAGAGGCGGGTGGAGCTGAAGAGCTCTATTTTCGAACGGATGATGGCCACGACGGGACAGCCAAACCTGGCGTCGCTCGGCCCACGTGGCTGTGACTTTGCAATTCTGGAGTGCTCAAACGCATGTAAGATTGAGGCCTGGTCTTGGAGACGATTGGGCCTTGCTCCCTTCACCGCCGTCAGAGAGCCCAGTTCGGTTGATGTCCAGCGCCTAGTTGGAGGCACAGCATCTCAGGCCCCCCAGACCAGAAAAGCCACCAGTGGCGCCGCCGCGGGCACAGTGTTGCAGCTTTGTGCGGCAGGCTTTTCTGCTTTAACATGCTTAAACATATAATATATATATATATATATATCATACATATGTAGGCGTGTGTGTGTGTGTATGCATGTACATATACACAGACAGAGAGAGGTAGACAGACAGAGAGAGCGCTTAAAAAGCAGCATATAGCGTGGGTGACTTTTGGCTCGGGGAACCTCGAACGTTCCAGCGAGAGAGAGAGCTTGTCTTCGAGGACTTTCGAGGCGGGTTAGGCCTTCGGGCCAGGGGGCCCTGCATGGTCCCCATACCCCTAGCAAGCAAGCAAGAGAGCTTGTCTTTGCCCAAGCCTGCAACTGGGTTGCGACCCAGCTCAATCAAAATATCGAACAGACCAGGAATCTCACGACGGGGTTTTGCCTGGCACATTCGGAGAGAGCAGGATGCAATTGCTCAGGCCGGAAATGCTCAGCTTTGCAGAATGGAACGGGCTCAATGTGGAGGAGGAGCCGTGTGCAAGGCAGCCTGATCTGCCCTGACTTGGCCACTGCCCGCTGGCTTGGCGGGTGGTGCACGGGCAGTTGTACCATGACCGCTTACTTATCTACGGATCGTGGACGCACGGTGTCCCAAACGCAGGAGGTTGCAGAAGTGGTAGACCTGGAAATCAAGGACGCAGACCACTCAGATCTGCTCAGCACATGCATCGACAGCTGGCAGAGCTTCGCATTCTTCGCTGCTAGAAGCAGCTAACAGCTCGTCGTTCTGGAACGAGGTGACTCTGAACACCTTCGATGGCTTCGGAGTCTCTCCCTCAGCAACATCACTTCGCTTTGCCAAGACGGACCAGGCACTCACGACCTGAGCGTGTTGTTAGGAGATGAAAGAGTCCCGACCACTCCTGCGAAGTGACCTACTGAAGAGCCACGACGAGGCCCAGTGTGAAGCCATGCCCGCAGAGGGATCGCATAGAGCTGTCTAGGGAGGCTAGGGGTGTTTCCTTGCTAAAGGGTTTTAACTTGCAGATTCTTATTGCCAATGTGTGCGGCGATATGACCCGCATGGCATGTAGGTGCGGAAGCTTGAGATCATGCGCCTGAGTCTGGATCTAAGATGTGCTGCCGCACTTGGCCTCTGTTAGGCGAGATGTGCACGCCTGCTAGGTGACAACTTCCCGTCTGCAGAGGCTTATCACAACTTTGCCCACCTCGCACCTTGCAAATCGCATCGTGAGACGGACTAGCAACTGAAAACCTCAAGACCTCAACAACGAAAAAAGCGCATGTCTTTGCAGGCCGCTTCGCCACTGAAGCCGTCTGCAGGATTCCTGGATAGCGAGTCATGGACGGTCAGAGACTGAATGTATGTACTGTGCGTCGGCTGCTTTGAACAGAGTCCAAGAGGCGGCTTGGGCAAGTTGTGTCATTGCGGTCAGTCCATGATGCCTCTTATGTCATGTGCAATTGTTTGTGACTGCACGGTGGGCGGCCGTGGCCCAAGAGGGGGTAACAGACCAACCTGCGTACATCGAGGCAGTGAGGACCGACTGCTCATCTGCAATTTGGGAATATTGAGCCACATTGCAGACGGGGAGCGAGGACGACTTTTATGTCATTTGTCTCGATCTTCCGACGGGCTAGAAAAGTCGTTGTGTCTAATGGAGAGTCGTACTGTCTGAGTTGTTGAGGAGAGCTAAGGGGTGCTTGTTTGGGGGGTTGGGTGCAATCACCGAAGCCCGTAACTTGACGCAAGCAGGTACTTACATACCCCCCTTCACCCCTTCCCAAATTTTTCTCTCAAGATAAAAGGGAATAAAACACGCAGAAACCCGATTTTTTTGGCTGTGGTCGCTTTGTCGCTGCCTTTGCACGGGCCCAGCGGCACGACAGCAACAAAAAGACCGCAACCCCAGAAACGACAGCTAACGAAAGAACGCGCCCCGGGGACGACAGGACTGTAAAGCTGTTGGAGTGGGCACCCTGTAGGTGCTGTAAATGTTTTGTACTCAGTTCTGCGCAAGACACCCAGGTAGAAGCGATCTCAAGCGCGACCAGGGTGGACTCAGGCCATAGACTGCATCAAGTTTTCGACCACGCTACTCGAGAGTAGCTGCCGCACAAGATGACGGATGCATCGCCATGGAAGACAATCCCGAAACCGCGGAGACATTTCGTGATTCTTGCTTGAAGCTCATGCTGTAATATGCACTGCCCTTCCATCGCTGCGTTTAGTTGCCTAGATTTTGGCCAGAAGACCTTTGGCCTAGCAAGCTGTGGCAGGCGTCGGACGACCCTACTACCAACTGTCACAAGCTCAGCTACAGTGGGTTGGTTCGGCAAGCACCGCGAGCGGTGGCATTCTCTTGCCTTCTCTGAGGATGAGGGCCGGGCCTCGGGAGAAGCTTCATTTCGACCCGCAGGCCCCCGTGTTAGCAGTTCTTGAGTCGAGCCGGTGTCTCCGTGACCCCCGCTCGCTAGTCCGCTAGTCAGCCAGCCGCCCCGGTCCTTTTGCGGCTTTTGTGCAGCAGCCTTTGTGCAGTTGCCGGGCTTGTGCTGGATCCGGGTATTTCTGGGCCGACAGGATGCTACAACCTGTGCTGCCATCGTCACTTGTGGTGGCCTGTGTCCGGGAGAGAATGTGGCAATTCGCCGGCTGCCCAAACTTTGCTTCGTGTTTGGACCGCCTGCACAGGATCATGTTGCACGATCTCGTTGCAAAGCGTGCCCCAGATCGGAGGGACAGTTTTTTTCCCAACCGCAGCTATTGGATCGCCTGACGTAGCATATGCAGCGAGAAGGCTTTAGAAGGTCTCGGAGAACGATGCGTCTCCTGTTCCTACTTCAGACCAGCCTTGTGACAGCTCCTCAACTTGCAGCAGCAAGCGCTGGGAAGTCTTTTCTCTTCCGTTCATCTCGCGACCGCGCGTGGCAGTGTCATTCATCGCCTGTGTTGAGGTTGTGCTGAGCATGAAGTGCCCGGGCTCTCCATCTTTCATGCACGCATCGGCTGAGGTGCTGGGTAAACTTAGGTCTTTAGCAAGCCGATGTAGCCGGTCCCAGGCGTCTTTGCCCTGTGCCCTGAGCTCAACCTGCAGGTAGTGGCTGTGGCAGATGCGAGCTGCACGGATGTCCAGCAAGAGATGCTGGCAAGAGTGCAATCACCTTCCTGGAAAGACCCACACAATGCAGGACCTCTTGCGCTGTTTGCCTAATCCGTTGCACATGCTCACAACGGCTATATTGCCCGTAAGTGTGTGCTGGGGCTCTCGCAGTCAGCATAGGGGCGCCTCTGGCGAGTACAGTCGAACGGTTGAGCAGGAAGAAGGAGAAGTAGTATCTGAGGGAGCCTGGCCGGGGAGATTTTGCTCCCGTGCCATGTGCGAAAGCAATGTCGTGAGTGAGTCTTGCTATCACATTTCTGCAAGGTGTCCATCGCAATCCATTAGAGCACGACCGGGGCAAGTGACCCAATGCGCAAGTCCAGTGTGTGGCGGCTTGTGCATGCTGGACTGGTGCCAACGAAGACGCCAGCATTGCATCTGTGAAGCGAGTCAGGATGCCGACTCGTGTATCTGCTGAAAGGCCAGCCCAACGCACCCTTTTCCTCCGATTGGTTCATAATTGCGGAGAAGATGAAGCTGAACAAAAACGACGGTTCAGCCTCGAGTCCAGTTTGGCGACGGAAACTTTGGTTACCGAACATAGAGCTTGGCTCTATTCGGGTACAGTGACCATTGTGTGTGTGTGTGAAAGGCGAATTCGGCATAAGGTCGTCTTCTATGATTCTTACCTCTCAGTTGTGAATGTCCTGCGTGTGGCCTCGCCTTGAGGAACCTACAAGATTCTGCCAAGCAAGTCCAGCAGTCAGCTGGATGCTTGCCGAAAAAGCTGCCAAGCACATCCATGCACAACACCTGCGCCATCTCATCGTAGGTTGACGCCGAGCAGCCTTGCTCACAGCCGAGGCATTTTCGCGCCTCACAGGCGACAAGAAATACACGGACAAGATGACCATCACTCTTGCGGACACCAGTGGAAAGTGCATGCGCCTGTGCTGACAACTTCTTTTGGTACCGACATGTAGAGTTAATGGCATATTCAACTGCCTGTTTTTCCTCCCCCGTCACTGTCGCTCGCTCGCAGCTGTACCGGTTCGTGCCAAGGATTATGGGATGTTCTGAGTCCCAAGTGTTCTCGGTTGTCGACTTCTCCACCAACTACTGCAACCTGAGGAAACCTACCCGATATTGTCATGAGCCATGTTCGCAAGCCTTATTCTGATGCATTCTGCATGGTGCTCCCTGTGGAAGGAACCTATATTGCAGCTCAGAGGATGGTTGCCAGACTGTGCGCCTTCGCCAGGATTCGAGTTTCCGAAGCAGGCTGCGCAAGACTTGTGTCCGTGCTAATGAAGGCAAACAGTGCAAACTTGGCCAAGGAAGCATGCATTCAACGTAGTGGAGTCGAAGGTGACGCCATCTTTAGGCGCGGGATCGGATGCCAAAAGCTGCATCACTGTGAAGGTCCAATGAGAGCCTTCGAATGCGGGGCCTAGCGACATGATCGGATTATGGCCAAACCCGTCAACGTTTCGGAACCGGAAAGTTCGGGTCCGAGGAGTTGCATGCGAGCGAGCCACAAGCGCCCACTCTAACCCACTTGGAGCCTGTAGCCAGAATTGGCTTTGGCAATTGAAAATGCGCAGTGGCCGGCCCGGCGGAGTCATTTGCTGGCTTCGATTCCGAGATAGGACTGAAGTATACTGAAGCGCTGAGGTGGCATCTTCCAGAGGCTGAAAGCTTACGGGGCAAGCCAAGCCTGTTGTCCCTGTCACGGAGCTCGCGACTGTGAAGATGCCCAGCTACCGAGCCCAGATGCTTCAGGGAACAAAACTGCCAGGTCCCCTATGTCTACGGAGTGAAGTCTGGCTTTGGCGGCCTCGCAGACGAACAGAACTGGCTGGAGCTCACCCCGGAAGTGGTCCAGGAGAGAGGATGTTCGGCTGTTTGGGCCCTGTGAGCGCGATGCTCCCGCCTCTCTTGAATAGCCCGCCAACCGCAGGACATCCACAACAAAGGTGGCACTGTCCTCGAAAGCGAGCGCGGCAATGCCTGGATCTCAGGGCTGCAGAAGGTGGTTTGCACAGCAGAGTCTGCGGGTTATTGGCTAGCATGAGAGAGTAACGGCAAAGATGACAGTAAGAACAGTGGTTCGAGGGAGGGGATTAGCTGTGGGGCAGGGGCGGAGTATGGATAATTTCGACAGCATGCTGAAGTGACCATGCCCGTGAACATCCGTGAACGGGGCTTGAAGCCTCATCTGGACCCCACATCTTTTGAATGCACTGTTTATTCCTTTTGTCGGCAGGCTTTCGTCAGTCTTTTAGGGGATGGACATTCTCTCACTTCGCAGTATTCCGACATGCTGGAATTGGGGCAGTAAGGGACATGGCAGAACTTGGCTTCGCGCTGTGTTCCCCTTTTTGCACACTTGTTTGTTTCCGCTGTTCTGCTGCAGGTTTGCAATTGATTTTTTTGGGTGATGCGTGATGTCCCTTGATGGGTCCATAGACTCTATAGACTCCAGTTCAGGCACGACATGCTGACATGGCTGCCATGCTGCAGACGTCGACGGCCTCAGCTTTGAAGGGGGCACTCCAGGGCTGAGCGTTGTTAGCCGGGCTGCGGTGCGGTGCATCTTTGCACAGAAGGCGAGTCCGTGAATCAAAGTCGGCTGCCGCGACAGTCGTGAGACGTTGTCGTCATCTGCTTCTGCCCCTGTCCGTGAGGTTAGCCGCCAACAGACTACGAACTAAAGTAAGTCTTCGGCAGACCAGGGCAAACATTCCAGGCGCAGATGCAAGCAGCTCTTCATCCTGGGTGGTGACGGTGCACACAAGGGCGCCCTGCAGCTGGCTTCGGTTCCTCGGCTGAACTTGAGTCTCGTCCTCGCGCCCCTGGGCCTGGGATCCAGCTGCCAAGCTTGCCACATGGAGGCTTTGAAGGCGATCGACCACGAATGCGCGTTGGCCACGGGCTTGGACAGACCGTGTTTCGGAATCGCGTGTGCCTTGCGATTGTTGTAGCTATAGAGGAGGTGCCCAATGAACAGATCGATTAGGGATTAGGGAGTAGGGGAGTGTATGGTGCCTGGTCTGTTTTCCTTGATGTGACACCCCGAAGGCCTCTGGTAGAGCACATGTGAACCTTGATTTGATACGAATGCACGGCCAGTTCACAGAGGTTGCCGTCCCCAGCACTGTGGACAACGACCTGGCCATGGTAGACACCAGCTTTGGCTTCGACACTGCTTGTACGGAGGTGGGGCCCGGGGATGTCTGGTCGTAGCAAAGCCGAGGCCACGAGCTGTGCGAAAGTATGCGAGAGTCGAGAGGAACATGACAAGGCTGCCATGGAACCACAGCTCCTGTCAGGCTCGCGACTGTGTTCAAGCTGCGTACGTCGAGGCTTCAGCGAGCTGGCATAGTAAAGCCACATAGACTTGAATCCTTCCCGGCAAGGCTGCGACAGTGAAGCATGACACGGTGCTCAGAGCAGGATGTCAACACGTGTGCCAGGCCACGTGCAATGCCAATTGCATTGGTTTGGTCAGGGCCCTTGATGAGTTGGCCGGCGATGCTGCCGAAGGTCCTCACGTGTGACGCTGACGCTTCACATGCTCGGAGGTGAAGCTCCTGGGCTTGGGAAGCGGCTTCCTGGCCATGAACGCAACCATGGCAGCTCGAAATGTCGACTTGTGCCCGCTTCTAAGTTTACCAGGGGGCTTATGCTGAGTGTCCGACGTCGACGGCGGATTCCGAGGCCTCCTGCCAGAAATGGAGATTGATTTGGAGAAGGCCAACGTCCGCAGCGATCATACAGATCATATCATTGTTGCTGCCGGTTATGCGGGGTTTCTTCCACCAGGTGCTCGCTCACTGCGAAAGCGTTATGGCCACCAAGGGCTATGCAGTCATCGTCGTCGTGCCCTGAGAACGAACGAGTTTGAAGCAGAACCTCCCTCCATAAGTCCTCGTTACCTGGTTTCTGTGGAAGACGGCGGATGAGTGACTGGCGGTCGTTCAGTCTGGCTAGGATCTAACGGTTGTCGAAGCTCTACTGTAGGTGGCGGATGGTGCCAAGTCATCGCTCTTCCGACGGGCAGGTGTGGCAGAAGGCCATTTGGAGACGCGTGTCCCAGAGAACCTGACAGCTCCAGTGATGGGCAGGTGACGTGGGCATTTGGCTCCGAGACCAGATCCTCGCCCGCTTCAAGGAGAAGAGCCGTCCCTTGACGTGAGGTGCTCGGTGCGGCTCAGGGGCGTCGTGGTCGTGCCTCCCCACGATCGCCCGCAAGCAGTGCAAGCACATGCCAGAGAGATGCAGAACGCTCTCAATGGTTCCAAGGATCAAATATATCGATCCGACGTATATGGCTTGGAGCTCAGCTTTTCCATTGGGTGCCAGACGAGGGAGATCCCCGCATGAAAGAGTGATGAGACTGAAACGCTTGCCTTGCCCCCAGGTGCGCTCCGTAAAGGCGAACGCTTACGACAGCTCCTATTGCGCCGCACTGGCGGACCCCTGCCGGTTGAGATTTTACAGTGGGCCCAGATATGTCCAGATCTACTGCATGCAGACGCGTCTCGGAAGGACCATGCGGTGCATGCGGCAATGGCCGGGTTCACCTGCGTTTCTGTGGCTCGGAGCTAAGGCGTTTGCAGTCTATCTTCGCTGGTTCGCTGTCTTTTTCACTCTGAGAGCTCCGAGGTGCGGACCTACATGCGCTATGTCTACCTACCGATCCATGCGTGCCAGCATCTGAGCACGTTGGGTGTGTATCATCTGACGTCGATGTCAGGGCAATGCGACCTATGCATGCTTGCTTAGCGAGGCGTGACGCACCCGAAGCGAGTGAATCCTTTGGGGCGTTGGTTCGGGCGGATGGCCTTTTCCACTGGACAGCCGCGATTTGAACCGGACGGTGCGCCGCGCACATGTTAATCACTGACTGTTCTGTGAGAGTCTTTCTGCTCGAAACGGGCCCCCCGAAGGCCCGAGGAAGCAACGAAACTTCACCCAGCACCTGGATGTCCAAGCTTGTCAGGCTTTGAATATGCCGCAATGCCGGATCAAGCCGCAGGCCACATTCAATCAGCGAGTTGCAGGGTCGCATCATGCGACACTTCGCTGTGAATGTGCTGCTCGCCTGATTCCTGCGCCAGACTTGAAGAAGATCTCCACACCCATGGTTGGAGCCTAAGTGAAGAAGCATGGGATCAGCGTGGAATGGTGCAGCCCTGAGGACATTGCAGCAATTCTGCCGTCCAGCTCAGCGATCAGCCGGCTTGAATGTGGGGTGCTCTGATGGTCGAGCGCAAGCTCTGGCTGGACATGGTGACAACAAAGGGTTGGCGGGAGGGAGTACGATGAAGCGCCGATGAAGTGCGGGCAGAACGCTAAGGGTCGGCAGGTGGAGCTGATGAGACTTGAAAGCTCGTGCCGAGGCGTCAGCCTTTGCGAGAAGTTCCCGTCCAAGAACGTGGACAACCCCATCAAAGGCACCAGAGTCGGTATGACTCCACAGGGTCACTGGGTTCATCTACGTTCCTCTCCAGGGCACTCCAGGGTTCGGAGAGCCACAAGGTAATCAAGGCTCAAGGCCAGCTGCGATCGATGCAGGTGCTCTGGCCGAAAAATCGCACTGCCCCCAGTTTGCTCCGTTTGTGCTGTCGCCTCCGTCGCGTCACAACCCTTGGTGTTGGACAAGGTCTGTCATATGTCATATGAGTCATGTGAATGTGGGCCTAATGTGCAAGTCAGGTACCGGACCCTGTTCGTGCAGTCAGACTGGTTTACGACACAGTCCCAGCCCCGACTAGAAGATCTCAAAGATCCAGGTCGGTTTCGTGTGCATTGTGCCCATCGAAGCAGGTCTTTCGATCGCTCCGGCGCAGCTGATTCTGCTCCACGCACCTACCTTCAGCCTCCGCCTTGGGCGGGGTTCCGCAGCTCCACGTCCTCGGGCCGCGAAGCTGGGCATCCCTTGCAGGTTTCAGCGGGCCGGACCATCGCGCGACATCCACTTTGATCCGAAGGATACGGAGGCGGTCTATAACCAACCGGGTGTAGTGATTCGAGTGGGCAAAAGCTTCTTTGACTCAGATGGCGGCCGCCATTGTCACTTGTGGTGGCTTGTGCCACTTCCTCAGCTGGGCCCAAGCTTCTGCAGACTTCTCCTGTGAGAGGCTAGCAGTGCGCTGGTAGCATTTACCGTCTTCTTCAAGCCGATTCAGTTTGCAGGGCACGATGTTGTAGGTTCAGACCATGCCCCAGCAAGCGTCGTTCCGATGTTCCGAAGCATAGTCTCGGCTATTCTGCCTCCTGGCAGAGTGCTCTTCTTGACTTTCTGTCTGTTTCATGTTTCGCGCAAAAACATCCTCAAGTCTCGCTTTCAATAAAATCGGAATCGCTTCTGCTGTCTCCGAGAGACCGGCTTTGAATTCCTCTGTCGAGCTCCGCGCTATGGCTTATTGAATTAAGTGCCCTGGGACAGGCATTCTTCTGTACATCCCGAGTCTCTTGCAATGTCAGGCCCAGGCTTGAACAACGTCATCCGTGAGATTGTGATGATGTGCTTTGCGTGCCCTGGCTTGCTTCGTGCCTTCCTGCAGGTTCTCCGAGTTGTTTTCGATGCAAAGGTATGGAATGAAAAAGGTGTACGGCATCATTGGTGGCTTCAAAGGCTGTGTTGAAGATGACAAATGGGTGGGACACTCAGTCGTAGATGTCGTAGATTACCGGTAGACTTGTTGGCAGAAGAGGCTCGCTGACTAACTGGTGAGGACTTGTTCAGTCTGAAGTTAGCCTGGTGCATCTGTCAGCAGGTGGAACTGACTCCGGCCACAGTAGTGGCCCTATGATTACGCATGAGCCGTGCAGCTTCGGTGGATTCTGACTTGTCCAGCGGTTTTCGACAGCATCACCTGGTATTCTCAGGTGGAGAACATTCACAAGCTTGGTGGCAGCATCCTCGTTTCCGATCGTGGAAATCCACCCCACTCAGAGATCGCAAAGGCCGTCCGAAGCCGGAGTGTTCGCCGACGAACTGCTGGCCATTAGCAGCATGAGTAGCTGCTGAAGCTTTCGCTGACTTTGACTAAGTCTCGACGCTTTCGTGCGCAAATTTCCGCTGTCCGGCTCGAAACCGAAGCTCTTTTCCGCATGTCCGTCAGCAGTCATGGAATCTTGGCTGTGGAGATTTGGGGCTTGCTGTGCATTTTCACCAAGACCTATGACTCTGGAAGGAACCAGCGGATATCATATTCATTCCCCGTGCGATCCTAGCCTTGCCTGGGCTAGACGCGAATGTCGTGATTGCTCCAGCACCGGGTCTCCGAAACCGAGCAAATATAAACATGACCAACAAACAGGCCATCTCAACCGTGGTACGCGAAACGACCCGAGCGGCATTGATGTTTTGTTGTGCATCGATGCCCTGGCAATTTGCATCTTGCATCTGTTGGTGCTGTTCTAGCACTGTAACCTATAGCCCTGATCGCTGGTATTCTCTGGGAGCTGGTTCAGGAATTCTTTCCGGCAAAATCTGTCAAAAAACCTGTCTTCCACATCTGTCAAAAAATTGTCACCTGCCGCTGGTAGGGTTTGGCATCTGTGAACAATGCGTGAGGAATCTGTAAAAGCTCTGAACAAGCTGTAAAGAATTGGTCCCAGATCTGTCTCAACTCCTGCGCGTGGTCGCGTCGCAGCCCGTCAGAGAGCTCAAGGAAGGATGAGGGCTTTCCACCCACCCAAAGTATATACTATGGGGGTACATGGACCCTAAGGGAATACAAGGGAGCCATGATCAAGCCCCTCGAGCTGGTTTCGGAGGATTTCGATCAAAAAAGGACCTGGGCCCTCGCCGGAAGCGGCAGAGCGTAGCCGGGGCGTAAGGGGCGACAGATTGTAATAAAAAATCATAGTTTTTGTTGTCAAGTTTTGGGCAGGTTTTTGGTGCCGAGGACACGGATTTTCAGACTGTTCAAATCCGGCTCCGGCCCTCGGGGTTGGGGGCCAGCACAGCCGCAGGTCCGTCCTGGCCCCATCGGATCTGAAGCTGTCGAGAATCTGTGGACAAAAACTGTGAAAAGTTTGCCAAGAATTTGTCAAAAAGCTGTCAAAAACTCTATCTGCAAACTCCGTCCGCAGGCCCCGCCCGCCTGCTTGCCTACCCTCCCGCGCCCGCTCGGCCCTCCACTCTCCCCGCAATTGGTACGCGAGAGGGAGAGAAACATAAATGCATCCCAGATCAATCACAAATACAACGCAGATAGGAAAACCTCGAAACAGCTGATCACAGATATTTGACATATTCAGAGCACAAAAAAGCGATGGAGTAACTAGTTATCATTTCACCCCGACACAATAATTTACCACGAACATATGGCTATAATACTACGTGATGTCGTCGCCGGGTGTTTCCGGATTGAAGCATGGGACCTCCAGGATGTAATTCGAAGTCAAGCTTGATTTCGTTTCGTCATTCGTGTGATTTTCTTGGGTTTCGCCTAGTCATGTCGCGCATAGTATTTTCCTGGTAGGTGCGCCTAGTCTCCTGTACAAGAAGACCGGATGATTAAAGAAAATACAGCTCTCTTACGACGTCAGCAGCGTTCCGAAAATACACTACTGCCCCCTCTGATAGCAGAACAAACTTCCGACATCCCCGACCGTGGAGACGAACAGCTTCAGCCTTTTCAAGTTATGTTCGCTTCATCGACGTGACTTGCGGAATTCTATACCAGCAGGAGAGCAAGGACATCGGGCTAGTTGTACTGGACAATATATGACAGTGCTCTCAGTTCAAGTATATGTGGGTTCTCCGCATGCTTCACCCGCTGCGGCGAGACAGGGGAGCCCACACCATCTCAGGCATTTCTCATGTAGCTTCAGTGGCGTAAGCACCAGCTTGAAAAGTTCCTCGTGTTCGCATAGCCGCCTCCAGAAAAGCTCCAACAAGCAGTTGGTGTCAGACTTCGTGTTCCGAAGAGTCAGGGGCGAAGCGAATCTAAGTTGAGCCTCCCAGCTGCCAAGGACTCTTTTGGGTGCGGGAGACCTGTTTGCATCTTGGCTCCCATGGCCGGCCCATGGTTTCTCTCCTTCCGACGGCCGGGGCCAGTTAGTCAAAAACCGAGGTGAGTTCGGTTCCGCAGACTCGACCGACAAGTGTCTGGTACCTCGGAATCCATTTTGCTAGTCGGCAGTTCGGGTTTAGTGCACTTTGCGAGGTGTGTACTCGCACGTCGGATGCTTGTGGGGTCTCCTGCGAAGGCCACTGCGCACGCGGTTTTGGAGCCAGGCCTGAGCAGGGAGGGGAGCTTGCGATTCGGCAGCTCAGCTGAGCACATGCTTGTTACAGGCAGCATATTCTGACAAGCTCGGGTTTGCGAGCTTTTTTTTTCCTGCTGAGGCAGTTCTGCCGACCATTTCGAAAACTCAGTGCGACAGTCCTTGCTATCGCTCCAAAAAGAGTGCTTAAGCTGCACTGGACGAGCCGTTCTGGCGACATGTCCATTCGTAGATCCACAGAGAAGACAGCGTTGGGAAGACTGGCACTCGTGCGGTGCGTGCCTGTGAGGATTGTGAGCCACCACAATGCCGCGTATTCCATGCTCCTCCAGGAGAAAGAAACCTTGAGGAGCGCAGCTTGTGTAGCAGATTGTAGCATTCAGCAGCTTTCTGCATCAGACGACATGTTGGCCGCCCCTTGCAGGCAGGAGCTCGATGAGATCAGCAGCTTGAAGCACGGCCAGCAGGCGCCCTGCACGGTGCTATGTGTAATGTTTCTGCAGGCCAGCATCGGATGCCCGCCCCTCTAGGAACGACGTAGTCTCGGGCTGTGTCCGTCGCCCCAGCAGCCACGGGGAGTCTGTTGAGCCCTCAATCTCCTTGGTGCTTTCACATTCTGGACACCGGGAGGCAGATTAAAAAGGCGCACTTGAAAACTGCTCTCTCGTTTCGGCTGCTTGGGTCATGCGGATGCAAAACCTCAGCGCGCAAAACTCGACGTAAGGGACGGCTTTTGAGGCGGCTCGGCTGACCGCGTGTTTCCCGTTTGTCCATGTATTCGTGCATCGACAGAGTAGGCAAGGAGCACGGCCAGGCCTTTCCGTGGCCGTACTGTGCCATGCCGGCAAACTAGTCAGCAGGAGACAAGATCAGAACGCCAACAACGACAGGGTGAACAAGTACTCTCCTGACGAAGTGAAGTGAGCAGCATTGTCTTCTCCAGGAGGGCAAAGATGAGGAGCCTCCGATGGACATTGATTCCATGATCCGCGTTGCAGTGCAGGGCGAGGAGCTGGATTGCAGAGTTGAGAAAAGCAGCTCTGTTTGTGCTGTACCTCCCAATCCCCGCCAGCCTCGTGGCAATCACAGAGTGTTGACAGCGGCTACCGTATCTGTGGCTGCTGCTGTTTTTTTGATTCTAGTGTGTAAAAAATATGCATCCGATAGCTGTGGCAGAAATTTCGAGTTTCGTTGTGTATCCAGCTGGGAAGGAAGTGGCATCAGCTGAAGTCTCGCCAGGATGGTCGGAGCCAGCAAAGCCAGCAGGATGTGGTCTCAACTTGCTCAAAAGTTTCGAACGAGCGCGCGCTACACAACTGGGCCACACTTATTTACCGGGCGCCCTGGCTGCTGATTGATGACCGTACCTTCGGGGAAAGGTAATTTGACAGGAGGGCTTTTCGAGCACATCACATTTCGAGGCGGGGTGGGGAGAGTTTGATATAAGAAAACCTCCGAAGGCTGTTCAGAGTCTGGCAGAGCCTCCCAAAGTTTTTGTGATCGTGTGGACGGTTGCCCAGGCATCCTCAGACTTCAGGCTGGCGAAGAGAATGCAAATGCCGCATGACTGCAAACCCTGCACCTGCCCAGCAAATTTCGCAATCACACAAGTTAACTGCTCTCAAATCTCAAATGCTCGCAGTCCGTCGGATCCGGCACTGCAGCTGCACCCACTCTGGCTGGGCTCTCGGGAGCCTTCGCGGGCACGCAAAGGCGAAGCACTTTCGCCCACCGAGGCTTGCCAAGCAGCAGACAAAGCAGGCCAGAGAGCAGCGCAGGGTATAGCCCAGAAAGGGCCCAGGGTCAGAGGCCGCCCCAGGCCCAGGCTTCAGGCCGATCTTGCCGACAGGCTGGGTTCGCAGCTGCGTCGAACCTGCGACTGAACATCTCCACCGCGCTGAAGCCGCTCGAAGTGTTCTGAACGGCTTGTCGGTTCCACATTGCAAATTCCGCGAATATTCCCGAAGCTTTGTAGCTCTGTCAGGACCGGTGATCGCCGAACGGACGCCAGCTCATGCCTCCAGCCCTACATCATGCACCCTGGCAAATGCCCCCACCAGACCCTGCCCGGGAACAGCATCTCAGCTTGCACGACGCACAGCCGAGGAATCCGTACGGTACCAAACGCCTTGGATGGGGACTTCTGGGCGTTGTGATGATCCTTTGGGACCTAGTCGTGCTTCCGGCTATACTTGTCAGTCGTGTGTATGGGAAGCATCACTGGATTCATGTTCAGCGGCTCAGGTGATCCCTTTGACCGTCTTTGAGCTGGGCGGATTTGAGGGTGTAGTGGACGCGATGGGATATATGACCTTTTCCTATTGGTTCCTGGATCTTGCAGGCCCCTCGAAGATGGCTGAAATCGGCTCATTTCTGCTGAGCATGTTCTTCTTGCCAGGGTCTTTCTTGGTGGGCAGTGACATGGAGGGCACGCTGGAGATGCGGCCAGGGCCAATTGCCGTCGGGTGTGCCGGATGCAAGTCCTGTCGCTCTGGCAGGTTCCGTACAGCAGTGTCTCAAGTGCGCCCCTTTCGGGCGTGCAAGGTATCTTCGAACGTGGTTCTTTCCGGACCTGCTGATCATCATACTCGACGTGGTGTTGTTCATAGTGACCTCGCGACTCAGCACAAGAGTGACAATGCTAGCAGAAGCGTCTTTGCTGGATGCGGATTCTGGAAGCTGATTGGAGAACCATTTTCGAGCGTCGTGACATGTGTTGGGAATGAAGGCTTGCGTTCCAGTATCTTCATGCCACGAGGTGTCCATGCGCGGTTGCTACCTGTCACGTTGCTCCTCCTCGTTCGTTTTCTAAGAGATGCCTTTATCCTGCACATAATTGTATATAACGACGGCGGCTCACTCAACTTCACCAGAAGCAGAACACTTTGTGTTTAGGTCCTTAGGTTTTACGGGCTTTAGGTTGAAGCCATGCCAGTTTTCGGGTAGTTTTTCAATCCGTGCTTTCTGGTGGTCTCCTGCTGCTCCTGGTAGTTTCTTGCTGGCCGTAGTGGTCGTTGTGCTGGTCCTGGTGGTCTTGTCTTGGTCGACATTGTCGTCGTGGTGTTTATCTCTGTTGGGGATCTACTGATCTACTCTAGCATAATGGCACAATATTCCCAATACGTTCCGTTCATGCGGATGAGTTCAAGCTTGGCAAGTGACGAGTGTTTTTAAGCATGGACATGCGCAAGTAGGCGACGAGCCAGTGCTCATACCGTCAAGCGAATCAAATCTGCAAATGTGAAGGATGGCCAGCGAAAGCGATGGCGCAGAGGCTGCAGAGACATTCCGCATTGCACGCGGCCTCCGACGCTCGGTAAATTCAGTGGATCAGTGGTGCTTGGGTGCAAAGACTGTGTAGTCGGATGCAGCACGGGGGGTCGGGGATTTTGTCACAACAAGTCAAGCCCGCAGGATAAGTAAAGCGGAAGCTGCAAATCTTAAGGACTCATGCGCTTCATTCGCATCTTGGACGAAGCATTGTTGCCTATCTGTAGCACGATTGAGTCAAGGCGAACCGCTTAAGCTGCATCGAAGTTGAAGGGACCCGGTTGCATGAGCTGCAGGACTGCTACGACTGCACAAGGCGGCGACGATTGTCGATGTCATTCAGATGCGCATGAGGTCTGAGTATCTCACTCTTCTCGCGCTTGCCTCGGGAGCCGGGTATCGCAATGGTTTGTGGTTAACTGCTTCGACTGCCACAAACTGCCACTTGCCGCGACTGATGAGGTGAAAATGCTGCGACAGTCGATGCTAATCATCGTCGTGTCGCTCCGCCGCCATTGAATATACACCAGCGAGTTGCTGTCTTCCACTTCGACAGCTCCGGCTCTTCCACTGCTTAGGAACCACTACATTGCATGTGCCTGGTTCTCCGTCAGCGACCTCATCAACCAGGATGACACCTGGGTGACAGTTTTCGGAGTCAAAAATGCAGTGGCTTCGCAGCAAGCTGTCGCATGTAATTGCACAAAACATCATCATGCCCTCATGCTTGGTAAGGGCTTGCAAGAGCAGTACCTGACCAGCTTCCATTGGGTGCGGCACCTATCTAAAGCGGTCTCGTGGTTGTGGAGATGCAGCAAGTTGTTTTACACTCGGAACCGGTGCGACTGTTTCGTGACCTGTTGTCCACGCCTGCAAAAGCAAACGCCACTGCTCCACCAAGTCCTTGACACAGTTTGCGCCCGCTACCAACAACATCGCTCCGCAGAATTGGATCGAGCGGGCCTTTGCCAGCTGCATTGCAACCCTCCAGCATTTGAGCGTTTTTGCCAGTGAACCAGACCTATTGGAACTGGGACTGTCGCTGACACGCAAGCCACGGATTGCAGGCGTTTCACCTTTTGCCTGCCTCACCAGCAGGTCATCTATGCCTTTGTGGCATTCTCCTCCTTCGTTAGCGCTGTTACGAATGCCGCGAACGAGCTTCGTGCCTTCACGCCGCCAGATTGCTTATGTGAGCTTCTAGTGGCGTTTGCCCTTGCCGTTCTAGTCGGCAAGAAAAGCTGTATATAAAGGACAGATCCGGTCTCAGTGAACACCTTTCTTGTTGTCTTATGGTTCTGCAAGGCGGATACTGTAGTGCAGGTAGCTCTTGTGGCCTTGAGCCCAGCACTGAAGGGTGTAGATGCTCATGTTGTGCGATGTTGATGGACGCTTGTCTTGTAGAATCGGCGCTAAAACCTTTGGAGAAGCTTCGCCCGGCAAGGATGCGGAGCTCTCAGCAGGAAGTGCAGATCCGCCGGTTCTTGGGCGATCAGAGCCTCGGCTGCCACGGGAGGATGCAGAGCTGGCAGTGAGCGTGAGTCAGATCCGAGGAAGGTGTCTTCAGATCTCTGGTGCCGCATCCGCAAGTTCTGCCAAGAGGCAAACTCCAGGGCGCGCATGGTTACGGAGCAGGAGCAGAACAAAATATGTGTTTGATGGGAAAGAGTTGAACGAGTGCTGGCAGCTTGCATTTCAGCAGGCAAGTGGAGATTTTTGTCGGGACAGTTTTCGGACCAAGTCAGATTTCGCCACGACAAGATTGCTGACTGCTTCCGTGTTCCTGGAAGTGCACATTTGCCGTGGACCGCAGGACATCGCAGTTTTCAATGAGATCCCAGAAAGTCTTCGCATCGTTCTGCACGAAGAGCTATACCGGGATTTCTTCAGGGAGGCCCACATCTTCAGCGGCTTCCAAGAGCCTTTGTTCATTCGAGTCATGCTGTGTTGGTTCCCTGAAGATGCCACAGCTGCCGCAGACTGCAGCTCTTTGGCGGTGTTCCGGAAGCTGAGGACTTGACGGAGGGCTCCCAAATCGTGAAGCGGGTCTGCCACTTCTGCTTCGAGGAGTTGGCGCTACGGCAGAACGTGTAGACGGCTTATTGGTGACTTCGGACGTCGCTTCAAAGGTTGCAGGCAGTAGGTAGGGTTACGACGGGAGGCCGAGGAACGTTCCGTGTCAGAAATCACCTGCAGCCGCAGGCGACGAAAAGCTACCGAACTGCCCCGATTTGTTCAGGCAGTGCATGCCAAGCTTGACGTCTTCGTGGATGGCACCGAAGCAGACAAGGTTTTTGTATCCCGTGCCTCGTCCTGCCTGCTGCTTTGCGGGGAGCCTGCAGCACGTCTACCAAATAGGCTGAACAGCTGCACCACATGAGTTTGAACAGATGATTTTGGGCAGCACCGTGGCGGTGGTTGTTTGTGTACGTGCAGAAGTTAAACTCCGCACGTTGCACTACTCCAGAAGCCTTGAGGTAGTGGATCTTCAACATACTGGAGCGTCTTGCTGGACAACAGACCCTCGAATTGCACTCAAGCTGACGAAGCCCCGCACCACACGGCGACAACGCGTCTTAACAGCTTTGTTTCGTTCGCCGAATGCAACAGAGAAGGTTTCTTTCAATCCCCAGCACCAAGTAGAGGGTCTTCAAGTGTCATGCTTTGGCTTGTGTCTGAAGTCAACTGCTCCGAGCCGAGATCACAAGCCTTTGACGGGGGAGGGCCACTGGCTGCACCTTGGCAGCAGAACTATGTTGGTGGGTTCTAGGACTCTAGGACTGCTGAGCCAGCTGAGCTAGTGGTCATACGAAGCTGTCAGTAGGGCGCTGTGAGGTGTGAGCTTGCTCTGTGGGCCAGATGGAGCCATCGGGGGCAACTGGTGGCAGACAGCACTGTTCGCTGCTCGACTGACATTGGAGCCAGAACCGGCCGTTTTGAACTTCCCGAGTTCGGCTCTGACTAGACATGTCATTAGCTGATCAAGCGGAGGTTTCCTGACGCTGAAGCCACAGAGCTTTGCGACCGTGGCCGCAAGCGAAGGAGGCCAGGTCCAGGTGGATTGTGCAGGAGGGAGATCGGGAGATGTCACCAAGATGACTGCAGGAAGTTTCTTTGCATACCTCCGCTCGCTTGGCTTGCTGCTGATCGGCTACGCTGAGGTTGCGGAGGACTTGTGACGGACTTGTGGGCTTGTGATATGTCCAGGTTTGATCTTCCCAAGCCAGGGCATTCCTGAACTGAAGCAGAGCCTGGAAGGCAGATAAAGGCAGACTGTATTATCTCTCGCTTCCCGGTGTTGGCGTTGAACCGCAAGTAGTAAGTAGTCTTTGGACCTTTGAAAGCCACGCATTCAGGACAGCTTCGTGTGTAAATCCGGATGTTGCGGTGGGTGCTGGTGGCACGGACTTCCCTGGACAGCTTTAACTGAGGATTTCTTTACTCAACAGCTTCCTTCGTGCTTAGGCGGGTCGGACTGCGAATTGTGTACGTGCAGCCAATCGCGAAGGCGTGTCGGTAGCATCAACACTGCTTCGAAGAGAAAACTGCTAAAGCAGAACACTGACTGCATAGCATGATGTTTCCGTGCATGTGCTGTCATCTCATGGCAGGAGAACAATACGCGAATCACGGATCTCACTCTTGGCGAAATCCTGATTCGTGCGTTTGCAAAGAGGCAAGCAAAGCAAACTAGTCGTGTGCAAGAAGATTCCAACTGGTGTTCTGACGAGTTTTTTGGGCGTCACAGTGGTGCTAAGGTTTCCCGAACGATAATCGTGCCCATGATCCTGTGGGTAGAGATGTAGAACGTAGTTCCGTGACTGCACAGATTCATGTTGGGCTTCCTCCAACTGCCGCAGGCCCAAGCCAGACAGTCGTGCTTGGATCTTTTTGGCCCACCAGTTCCCTTGCCAGGTCCAGAGCCAAGGGAGATGCTTGTCGTCATCTGGTCACTTCTCTACGCCTCCTGTTCTGCATCTGCATTACCCGGTCACAGCCTGCGAGGAGCACCGGAGGATGTGAGAAAGCTGCAGAGTGCAGCCTTGCTAGACCCAACCCCCCGCTTTGGGGTGCCGCAATGTGGTCCGGGATACGTGGACACAACTGCGGGGAATGCATATTATCCTTGGTCTTGTGCTGGCTCTTGCGCCGGTGGGATCTTCTGGGCCACGAAAGATTGCAACTGTGCCTGCGCGAGGCAGGAGCGTTCGCCGAGTCCGAGTCCGCCAAGCGGAGGTTCCGGCAGCTCCAACCCGGTCGGACCGGTCACTACCCAGCGCCCGCGAACGACATCGCACTACATTGCTGTGCCTGCTGTGCAAGAAGACCCGCCCAGCTACAAAAACATCGTCCCATCACCAAGCACCACCAAAGCCCCAGCAGCCAAGGAGGCATCAGGGTCTGTTGAGGGGGGCCGAGGGGGAAACGGTGCTGTCGTCGCTGCAACCGTGGTGTCCGTCGGTCTGCTCGTGTGTGGAGTCGCCGCGTGCATCTGGATAAGCACGGTGCCTCAGAAGTCAATGCCACACCTGCACGTTGCTGAAGTTCCGGCGGTAACAGTCCATGCGCCGGCTGAGCATTGCCCGCAGCCAGTTGATGCGGGAAAGCCACCGAGGCCACGTACAAGCAGCAAGATGTCGACAGATTCGCAGGTGTCAGACCGATCCTTGATCTCCGGATCCCGGATCAGCAGCCGCACGAGCTGCCCTTCGGAGCAATCGCAAAACTCGGGTCAGTTCACGAAGACTTGGGAGGGACCAACTGCAAGCACCACCTCCAGTGCATTGCGACCTACGATCGTGAATGCGACGCTTTGGGCTCATCGTGTAGATGCAGCAGACACTCCAGGGCAGTTGGCAGCTGAGGGCTCACGAGGCTCTTCCAAGCTGTCAAGAGTTGAGCCGGAGAACGGCTCCAGCTCTCGTCGCTCGAGCAAGTCGAGACAGCCGAGCAAGACCTCAGCGATTGCGCCGATTCGGAGCTCGAGCTGAGAGCTGATTTTGTGAGATTTTTCCTAGCCTGGGTGGGTGCGGGCTAGCGCTGGCCAAGCTCCTGCAGAGGTCTGAAGGCAGTGCTGGTAAGGTAGCAGCTTCATTAGCCTGTCTCTGCGGGACAATTTCTCATCAGCCCCCTGCAGTAGAGCTCTTGCGCGCTCGGGGCTCACCACAGGCTGTAAGGCAGAGTCAACTGGGGGAATCTACCCAGTGACAGCCTGCAAGTGACGCGGCTTCGAGGCCCGTCACTGCGCTCTTTCAATTTTGTCGGAAACAGCGAGGCCCAGCGATAAGCCAACAAGGTGCTTGTTGGGCCGCCTGTTTTCGGGTTCCGGGAGGAACTCACCGGCCAGTTTTGAGTCTGCCTGGCACCAAAGCAACAGAGGCAGTGTATATTGCAGGAACGGTTCAGGCGGACCTCTAAGGCACTGGCCCCATGTGCTTTCGCGATCCACATGATCGGAAGATTTTGTGTACTGTACAAACTGGACTCCTTCCGTGTGGCAACAAGGCATGGAAGCTTTAAAACAAGATGCAGAACTGTGCCTACCCTTCTGCTTTTCAGCCCATCAGCTTATGCAGCTTACAGACAGGAGCCTGAACAACTTTTCCTGTTTCCCTCAAGTTCGGTTGTTCGGTTGTTTGGAGGTACTGAGCCACTTTTGTTGCAGGCTTTCCAAGTCGGCACTGCTGCAGCTACGTTCTGACAGGGCATGTAGTGAGAGCGACAAAACTTCGTTGTGGTATGGGGCGCTCCGGCGTGACATACATGGGAATTTACTTGCTGATACTTGGATGGTGGAGGCAGACTGAGCGGAAATTAGTTTATGACGGTCCTGAGATGATGCGAGAATGCTGCGGTTTGTTAATTCCTATTCCTGCTGATCAAGTGCCAAACCGGCTTTGATTTGTCAAGCCCTGCCTCGGGATCTGAACCTTCGTTGCAGCTGGCAGGGCTGTTGGCTTTGCCAACCTGAACAATGACGATGCGAACAAGTCCGTGAGGCCAGAGCGATCCGCATGTTAAGCAAGCACTCAAGTACTTGGGGTTTCACGTGTTGGCCGGGTCTCAGGGGTCGTGTCGATCGGACTCCAGGGACTCCCAGGAAGTACCCCAGGTGCCATCCTGAACCCGACCTGCTGCGCAGGATCACTAGCCTCTCCAGCCTCTCTCCGGACGTGGCTCGGAAGGGCGGCGGCTCACGGCCGGCCGTCCGAAGGGTGGAACTTGTGAGAGAGGCAAGCGGCTCGAGCTGAGTACGAAGTATTACGGAGACGTGAGCGCATCTAGATGCGCCATTTCAATGCAGTGGCTGAGAAGGCACCAGCGTGCACAATGGCATGTTGGAGCGCTGACATGCTTTTAAAGCAATGTTGAGAAAGAGTCCTTGCTGGCTCTTGTGTAAATGCTATCTGCCACGCGGGCCGCCATTTTTTTTGGTGCTGGACAGCTCGACGATCGAACGGTGCTTCAGCACACCGCATCTGGCAGATGTACTGACAGCCCTGGCCTGACCAGCCTGCCAAGGCAGGAACAAAGTGCAGGACGGCAAGTGAGGCCTAGTCGTTCTAGTCTAGGTCGAGGAATCTGGCGGGCTGTGCTCCGGCTCTCTCCGCAAAACGTGCTTTCTTTGCCAAAGGCATCGATTGGAGCACGCCAGCAAACTTGAGTAGTCACGGCCTGCCTTCGTACAGCAGGTCAGCCACACACGCCACCTGCAAAAGACTTCCAGAGACTTCCGTCCGTGACTTCAGGGGGCAGCATGCCACATCTTCTCGCAAGTGTCTGCTACAGATGATCGAATGAGGCTGTGACTGCCCATCTGCGTTGGGTTTTCCTTGAGCCATTCGCAAGACAACCTGGAATGGTGGGCGATGCGGCCCAGACTTCCAGGTCACTTTTGAAGGACGGCCATTACTTATGGCGAAAGTCAAAAAAGTTAACGCTTTGTGGCTTTGTGGTGTGTTCACAGCTGATGCTGTTGAACAGGCAGAGCCTAGGGCCATCTGTGCAGGTAATGCAGAGACGCAACATTCGACAGTACTATGTTCTGGGAGGCTGGTAGGGGTGCTTATTAGGTGCAGTGCCTTGTCTGAAAATCGTTAGCTCACTGGAAGCTAGAGCACAGGCGACGGAACCCACAAGGGCGTCGACTTCCTAGATCCAGCACTTGTGTGAGCACTTGTGGGGAAAGAAGGGCTAGCAGGAGTCACGGAGCAGACGTTGAGGCCATGCAGTCCTTCAAGTCAATGACAGAGATCGGCCATAAGTCCACAGCCCGGAGTGACTGATGTTGTTCTTAGAGCTGTTGTGATGGACATAGTTGTGCATTCTGCTGTCTGCAGCATTCCTGCGTGTTTTGAGTTGGTCGGAAGTACCTCTGCTCCCACTGCAGGAGCTCGGAGCTTGTCTCGTTGTTGGCAGGTGTGCCGTTGTGGGCGTCCCGAAGACGATTGACAACGATATCACCCTTGTGGACCGTAGTGCAGTAGCGCTGCATGCAGGGGTCCTTGAGTTTGCTATGTTGCGAAGCGAGGACCGCACCTTTGGTTTCGACACAGCTTGCACGGAGGCAGTACCTCCCTGCACTTCCCATGTGAGCTTTGAGTTTTCAGGCATTGATTGCCAGTGTCAATCACCTGCGCAGGCTCGTAAAGCAATCGATTCGGCCTATATTGAAGCGACCACCAATGCCAACTGCATCGGCCTGGTGAAGCTGATGGGTGACTGCCCAAGCTTTGCTATCTGCAAGAGCAGGGCTTGCCTTGTTGGGAAATGCCAATCAATGCGACCTTGATCTGCCAAGGTCGTCACTGTGGCTGGATTGCCTCCACCGCCACCATTGCTGCGCCGGCTCACCCAGCTTCTTTTGACACTTGAAAGTGCACCTGCCAGATGAAGCCCACGTGTCTTCGCTCAGCAAGCTGTGAGCAAAAGCAAGGCGAAACGTTGACATCTGTCTTATCCCGGAGATGAACATCTCCCTGCCGAAGGTGATGGACTATGTTGCGGAGGCTCTTTCGGTTCCGTGCACATTGGCCCAAGGTGAGACTCCAGGTAGAGCGTTTCTGCCTGGAACCTCGGCGTATTGGTCTGCAGGTGATGCGGCGTCAGAAGTATGCGGTCATTGTCGTGGCAGAAGGTAGAGAGCCAAGATATGTGTTTTTTTTCTTGTGCGTTCAGTGCTTGTGAAAGCCGGGGTTTTCTCCACTCCAATCTCGCAGAATTGGTATCAGAGTTTCTGTCAAATTGCAGTCACGGGCGGCGCGACTGTGTCACAACTGAATACCCTCGGAGGTTGCGGGGACACGCTTATCACGAGTGATGGTGGGAAGGATGCCGGCGGCAACAAGGTCCTCGCAGACATAGGCCCTGGCTTTTGCTTGCGACCTCCCAGAATCTCGCCGTTCTCAAGCCACATCCCAAAGATTTGTGCCCGATACGTGCAAGTCGCAGGTCCTTTCTTGAAGGATGCCATTACCAAGCACCTGAAGAGCATTGACATTCCAGTCAGCATCAAGCCCCTAAGATGCAATGGGCTGTTCTGCGTTGTTCTGGCATCAGCTCGCTTGCAGAGCCACGGTAGTGAAAGCCTCGGAGGTACATCGACCCGACGTACATGATTCGGGCGGTGCCGGCGAATGCCTTCGACAGTATCTACTGCTCAGTTTTGGCTCAGATGGCGGTGCATGCAGCAATGGCACCTTGACGGCAGGCCAAGTAGCAGGCCGCGACTCAACGGTCCTCCATCGTATGCTAGACTGTTTCATATGACCGCTATGATGAATTGCAATGCTTTTTATACGCTTCTATTCTGGTGTGTTGCCCAAGGCCGGTTACACCGGCATAAGCGTGGGCAAAGTGGATGAACGATATGTGATGCTCCCGATCCACTCAATCGTCGACAAAGGAGCGCGAAAGGCAGGCACAGAGATGACGGGACATCGTTGGACAAGCAAGAGTGTGATAGCAAGTCATGCATGAAGGTGGACCTGCAAAGCAGAGTCTTCGAGCGCATGTTGGACACCACTGGACAGCCCAGCTTGGCACCATGAGGCTCCGATGAAGGGTTGGGGCTGGGTTCACGAAATCGCTAGGTCTTGTGTGCTGGGTGTGCCCTTGTTTTCAAGAGTCCGCTTGCCGTGTGTGTGTGTGTGTGCGCAATGGTTTTACGTTCAGGACTGCCCGGGCCACTCAGGTGCACCAGTGCTGCGGCACCAGCACACCCGAGTTCTCAGACGGCTTGTTCGGTAAACCCATTCTCTTCTGGCTATGAAATGGGTTTAACACTCTGGAACGCAAGTATGCGGGTTTTTCCAGGCCTGAGAACATGTAATTCGGTTCCGGGCGGTCAGCCTGCACGGAAGAGTGCATGAAGGTGTCACCGCAGCCAAACGGCCAGATGGCCATCGATTTCGGAATACCGCGCTCCAAGAGCTGCGTCTTCTGCGGTGTGAAGCGGAGCTGAACCAAGAGCATATCAGGGCTTTCGACTCTTCGCATCGCAGCTTAGCCTAGTTTATGTCGCCCGGCCAAGCATCAAACGATGCGTGCATTTGCGCACCGGTTTAGCGACCCGAATGTAGAACGGTGCCATTGCTGATATCAGCCAGCATCATCCAATGGGGCTGAGGAGCAAGAAACTTGTGTGGAGAGACACCTCCGTCGGTTCCTCTCACTTCTTGTGCCTCAGTTCACCGCAAAACAGTTGATCGAGCAAAAGACTCCAGAGGTCTGCACATGTCGTTCCCTCAGAGATAGGACGACAGAGAGAGTTGGGGGATGTTGGGAGTAATGTTAAGCAGGGGTGGTCTGTACGTCGTGTGGCAAGCATGGAGCAAGACAAATGCAAGCATCCCGGCACGCGCAGCTGCGCTGGAGGTTCCTTCTGGGGAGACACGAGAATGTGGGCTGCAGGGGCGGAGATGGGCCGGGACAAGCGGATGCTTGGGGTAGGATGCAGATCGAGAGCACAGCTTACAAGTCCGAGAGACGCCCCAACGCCGACCCTTCCGACCACACACTGGGCTAAGCCGCTAAGCCCACTTCAATGTTACAATGCTAGAAGATGTTACGGGCGTTGTCACAGTGGCAGAAGGAGGTGGCTATGGTGGCACGCCGCGAGAGTTCGTGGCAAAGGCTTCACAACAGTAGGTCCAAGTTTACCATTCGCTCACGTCTTCACATGCCCCGGACGAAGCTTCTACATGAATGCATTCGGATGTACAAGGTTGCGACATCGGCATGAAACAGCCCGCCCGACCCGAGCGTCCCCGAAATTGCAGCCTGCCAAATGTTGACTCATCACAGATTATGTCTGATGAGGGTGTGAGATGAAGCTTGAGGACGGCTGTGAAATTGCCACTGGCGGGCAATGAGAGGTTGCCAGCAGTCTGTCAGCGCATCAATCCAGAGCTGAATTGACACATAGCTCTCGGCTACATGGTACACAGGTGATAAGGCTTGGAATTGCTGTCAAAGATGATCCGGTCCCGGATAGCTGTGGTATCTCTACTGACTGCTATTTACGATCACTGAAGGAGAGTGCGTTTTTAGGAACACTCTGCGGGAAAGTGCATCTTCTCTGAAACGTGATTTTTGGAGAAGTCGGTTTGCGCCATGGGACGCTTCGGCTGTGCATGCCTCCTGCTTGCCGCGAGTGCAGTCTGCGCAGAGGTGCCCTGGAAGGTGGGAGTACGCTAAATCTCGAGTTGAAATATCCGACGAACATCTCCGATCCGAGGCATGGTTGCAGAGCTTTGGCCATGACTCCTTCAGGCACTGACGTGCAAGATGCCATGCCGCCTGTCCTACTGGCAAGTGGAGGTATCCAGCCTGGATAAAGGAGCAGATGGAGGACCGGCAGATCTACCCGTGTCAGTGGTGCAGAAATCTGGCTGTCTTCGAGGCGTGCCATTGCCGGATTCATGATCGACTGCACGTGCAGTGCTGGGGCGAAGAGGACCGAGTTCAGCTGTTGTCAGTTGCACCCCGTCGTGCATGCAAATCTCGCAGGGCAATGCCGTGATGTGGCAGACGGCCCGAGAGCTGGACTGGTGTGTGGCAAGGTGCTCCTGCAGCAGTTGGATCTGACGTGGGGCCTAGGTTTGGTGAGGTTCGGGAAAGAAATGCAGGCGGGACCTGCAAGAGTACAGAACCCATCTATATATATATATATATGGTCACACCCCCCCCATGATCCACACGAACCTGCCTTTCAACTACTGCTGCGTAGTCTTACGTCCCAAGATGCTTAGTCGTAGAGTCCGAACCTATCGGTATTTACGGTGTTTTCTGCACTTCATGTACATGTATACCTGA